CAATTTCAATTATATTTTTTTCTCTTCAAACTAGGTAATAGTGCCTATTAATTTGAATGATTTAGTGACATCTCCTACATTATAAAAATAGTACATGTGAAATACAGATTATGTATTACTAATTAAAACTTAAGTAAATAAAATCTATGTGCTGATCTATCATATACCTTGGATATCTCCCCTTCTTTGTATTACTTTTAAAAAAATGCTCCATTTGTGAAAGTTGCATGTTTTATGAAAAAGTTAATTTTTAAAGCATATTTTGAAAATATAATTCAATCAGAAATCACAGTGTAAAGAATATAGGATAAGGAGAGAAATTAAAGAGCTAAGTGAGAAACAGCAGACCTGGGACCCAGAAAGGATTAATGCAAGATACACAATAATAAACAACAATAATAGCTCACTTTGGAGCAAACAGCATCTTAAAAGCTGCAAACCAACTATAGCAAAAAAAAAAAAAAAAAAAAAAACCTGTTCATGCACCATGGTTTTTCAAACTCAGTACACTTTGTGAATTATTTTGTGCTACATCTGTACGTTCACAAGAGGCATAGCTTCAAAGAAGTACTACTACTGGACAGCAAAGCACAACAAATGCACTCAGAAGGTATTCCCTCTCCAGCCAATGGGAAGGAAGAAATTAATAATTTAATTGAGACCTACAGTCTGATAAGGTGTTTCAGGTCAGGAAGCCCAACCAAAACTGGCTGTGGACTAAGAAGAATTCTAATGGCAATGCACAAAGGTTTCATACAATGGAAATTCACCCTGAGGGATTGTAAGTTTTCCTGGAGTACACTGAGTATTTGCAAAACAAAACAAAACAAAAAAACCCTTTAATACTGTAACATTATAAAACAGTTACCACACTGACATGAAAATAGGAGAAAACCTCCTTGTGAAAATAGATAACAATGCTACAGATAAATGTTATACACAAGGTGACCTTGGTGAAAGAAAAATGAAGCTGAACACTAAGGTGAGAGAGATTGGATCTTTGTCCAAAAAGGGACTCAATTTTGCCTTTCAGGATGTAGAGGCTTAGGCAGCTTTAATTTCTGTCAAAGTATACGACAAGAAGAGCTGGTTTATCACTGAGAACTTAGCTCTTTTTCTGGATTTAATGACTACCCTCTACATTTGCCATTCTTTGTATCTGTAGCTTTCAGTTTTATAATTTCTATTTGGATTTTTTTGTAATTTTTTCACTTTCACAAGATTTACCATTTGTTTTGAACAGGATTTACAATCATAAAACAGAACATTTTTAATGATAGCTTAAATTTTCTCTTTAAAATTTTTCTTTTATTATTTATTAAAATGTTACTGTGTAATTTTCCCTCTTCCTCTCTTTCCTCTAACCCATCACGTTTCCCCAGCTTCCTCTCAAATTTACAAGTTTTTAAATTGTAAAATATGTATGTATAAATGAATATATAAGTACAATCTTTTGAATCTATTCAGTGTTGCTTATATGTATATGTTTTGGGGACTCACCACTTGGTACCAGATAATCAATTAGGGGACTTATTCCTATGGAAGATCAATTCTAACTCTCTTAGTAGGTTTTAATTATCTATAGCTCTTCATTTAGGAGTGGGGTTCAGTGAGAGTCCCCCCCCATCTATATTGGTATACTGATTAATGTCATTGTTCAAGCTTTTTTTTTAAGATTTTATTTATTATGTATACAGCATTCTGTCTGTCTGCATGGATGTCTGCAGGTCAGAAGAGGACACCAGATCTCATTGCAGATGGTTGTGAGCCACAAAATGGTTGCTGGGAATTGAACTCAGGACCTTTGGAAGAGCAGCCAGTACTCTTAACTTCTGAGCCATCTCTCCAGCCCTTCAAGCTTTATTTAGGCAGTCATACTGTTGAAATTTCATGGGTGGTTTTTCTGTCATATCTAGAAAACAAAATCTTAAAACTCTTAATAGGTGATTTCAGCATTTGCTTCATTTTTTGATCTGCTGTCTGATGAGTATTTCTTGGTTCTTAATATGAAAAAAGATCTAACATCCAGAACTTCAGAGTTAATGAGAATAAATACTCTATTTTAGTAAATATCCCCAATGGGATATTAGATGGAATAGCTTAAGGACCATATGGAGATATATGTTCAGTATCTTGCTGGGTACACCAATACTACCCTGTCAAAGAAGAAACACTGATTCATATGGGAAGTAGAGGTTCACTTTCCCTGTTGGACACAAAAAGACTTTTACTTGCCTGGTAAAAGTGGGTATCACTTTATGTCACTGTTGATTCTAAATCAGGGCAGATGCTGAGACCATAATGGGGAGAGAAAATATCAGTGTTGTCGGCCTTGATAGAGCAAAGAAGTGAGGACTTGGCCTCACTGACATAAAAAAGAAAAGATAAGATAGAGATGACTAGCTTCACCTAGAACTGACTTGTTCAGTCATTCTGTTCCTGGGTGGGTCTTAGATGGGATGACTGTGGGCAGAAATGAAGGGGCAAACATGGAAGATCAGATTTCTGTTGGCTCAGCTAACCTAAAGGTTAACTAAATAACTTTTTTCATTGATGTTTAGTGAGAACCAAGTAAAGAGTGCTGAACTGTTTTTCCATAACCTTAGGCAACTCTGATCTTTTTCATCCAGCTAGACAAAAGGCTAATGTGAGAGAGTCTATACAAGCATTTTGTCTGTGTCTGTTGTGAGTCCAGATTGAAAGTTTCTTTAGCATCCTTTCCACAGAAGATTAGAATACATGGCAAGGCAAAACAGGGACTACTGGCTATGCCATTTCTAAAATCCTGTTGTACTTGGACTACTTGCTTTTCTCTTTCTATTTTTTTTTGAGGTTTTTCTATTTTTCCATATTTTCTACCAATCTTTAGATTCCTGCTAAAAGGAAGACGTTGAAGGATTGAGGTTACTTTACTTTTGCTGGTTTTAGAAGTGTTTTTTTTTTTTAGCAAGAATACTTTTGAAAATTGACAAATTTATTGTAGTATTGTCTGGAACAATTAACTCATAAGCAATATGTAAACTTTATAATGTTTTTTGGTGTTCAAACATTATGAATATATTATATCTGACAAAAATGAGCTAGGTTTCATTGTTATTCTAAGACTAAAAATATGCATAAATATGTGTATTTATTTATATATGGTACATTATAAATAGCATATCAAGGTTAAACTACATCATACACTTTTGATAATTTCAGATTATTTGACTCTCAGTCAGGCAGTCTTGATGCACACCTTCAAACCTAGTAACTGGGAGGCAGAGGCAGGTGAACCTTGTAAATTCAAGGCCAGTCCTGGCATACAGAGAAAGTTCAAGGACAGTCAGGGCTATTACACAGAGAAAGCATTTACCCCCCCCCAAAAAAAAAAAGAAAGAAAAGAGAGGAGGAAGAAGAAGAAGAAGAAGAAGAGGAGGAGGAGGAGGAGGAGGAGGAAGAAGAAGAAGAACAAGAAGAACAAGAAGAAGAACAAGAAGAAGAGGAGAGGAGGAGGAGGAGGAAGAGGAAAAGGAGAGGAAGAGGAAGAGAAAGAAAAGAAATAAACAAAACAACAACAAAAAGTTTTCACAGTTTTTCCACCAACACATTTAAAAATGTTTTTATGCCTCAATACTCAATCTTGATTCAGTTACTGGACATATGCTTTAAGGAATGTCCTAATAAAATTCAAAATTCTAAAATCGGTCAAAATAAAAGAAAAATCTCACAAAAATTAAAAACCCCTTACAAGACAAGTGAACATTTCTGTAAATTAGTTAAATACAAATCTATTGCTTCTTGAACATATGTGCTCTAGGGTATATCTTTAAGCTACTTAATGTTATTGCTTACTAAAACTTTTCAACTTGATTCTATTTACTAGCATGATCTCAACTAACTGCTATATGATTACAAATCCTAATGTTAATCATTCTTCCCTAATGTTCTTCCCTCTACTTGATTCTAGGCTGACTTATTCAATGAATCCTGACACTCTTGAGATTCTATTTGTTTCTTCTTCATTTCTTTCTTTTCTTTCTTCCTTCCTTCCTTCCTTTCTTTCTTTTTTTCTTTCTTTCTTTCTTTCTTTCTTAGACAGGGTTTCTCTGTGATAAGGAACTCACTTTGAAGAACAGGATGGCCTCAAACTCAGAGATCTTCCTACCTCTGCCTCCAGGGTGCTGGGATTAAAGGTGTGCAACCATTACACTGAGCTAAATTTGTCCTTTTTCCCCCTTGAGATAATCAGATCTCATTATGTCTGGGTGGCTTAGAACTTGACGTATTGACTAGGCTTGCCCCAAATTTCCTACGATCTTTTTGACTCTGATTGCCAACTGCTGGAATCACAGGCTTGACTCAATCACCCAAAGAAAGATGGGACCTGGAGCTTTGTGCCTGCTAGGCAAGCACTCTGCAAACTCAACTACATCCTAGCCCCTCTTTTTCTTTTCTAGTTTGAGAGCAATTGTATAGCAATATTTACTGAAGAAATCATACAGTAGAAGAGGTGATATAATGAAACCAATAGTTTCTCACATAATAAGTTTAAATGACTTAAAATTAATAAGCAAAATAAAGGATAAATTACAAAATTTTCAGTTTATTGAAGTTGATACTGAAAGTTCAATAAAATTAAGCATTATATACATATTTTTATATATCAAATACAAGACTTGTAAAGACTTACGGGCAGAAGAAATTTAAAAAAATAATCCATTATATATATTAATATTTATACATAATACTGTCTTATATTTTCAACAAATCACATAGGAAGGGTTTTTGACATATATATTTTACTTACATTTTCCCCCAGAACTGTATTGAAAACATCAGATATAAAATTTTATGGCAATTCTGTAATATAAATGTATTTTTAACTTGAGTAGATTAACTAGGAGTACAATAATGTCTTCACATACCATAAGATTTAATGATATTTAAGTAACAATTTCCCCCTCAGCTTCTAAATAAAATGCTAAAGGCTCTGTAGGTGTGAAAATTTCATACTATACCTTGATTTCTTCTATTTCATCTGGTACTATCTTGTATGCTGATATAGTTCCACCCAACCTGAAATTAGAAGAAAATATTCTTAAAACTAGCAACAGTGTAAAACATATGAATGATATATACCATTAGCATTAGAGTACCACCAGAAATCTCCAAAGACCTACTTCAATAGCCAGGGGGAAAACATTTTTGATTCACTGCCCCATTTATTAGTTTAGAAGAGACAGACAACAAATGACTACCCAAAGAGAAAAGATTACATTGGATTTTTGTTCTGAACTAAACTTCTATTATTGATGGTTTTAATAATGTTGAAGCCATCACGTTTATAACTGGATTCTGTCACAACATACATCAAGAACTGAAAGAAGACCTGTTTTTATTTGTTTAATTAATAAACTTGACTTCTGGGAATAGTTTGTGAAAGTTTCTGAAAAAGAGATCAAAAAGTAAAGTTAACAGATCCTGCTTTAAGCCTATTTCCTAGTTTCCCAATAATTATCTTATGTTTGTGTGGTGCAATTGTCACAACTAATGCACCAATACTGATTTTGTTTAATTTTTTAAAAAAACAGAGAGTTGCCGGTGGTGTACGCCTTTAATCCCAGCACTTGGGAGGCAAAGGATGGCAGATCTCTGTGAGTTCAAGGCCAGTTTGATCTACAAGAGCTAGTTCTAGGGCAGGCTCCAAAGCTGCAGAGAAACCCTATCTTGAAAAATGAACAAACAAACAAAAAACAATAAAAAAAGAGAGTCTGAGAGATGAATGTGTCTAGCACTATTAAAGAGAAAGAGAAAATAAATCATGAGTTGCAAAATGTTTGAGTCCTAATATTTAAAGTTAAATTATTTCACAAAAGAAAGTTTTAAAGACATTCATCATTTCATTCATCATTTATGCCCGACAATGCTTAAGCATGCATGGGCAGCCTGTGTATGGCAGTTCTCCAGTTGTTCCTATCCTGGGCAGTCCTAAATGCTTATTGTCACACCCAAGGTTTCACATTCTTCCTTTATGCTGTCTATCCACAGTTTTCAGGGACTTCCTCTTCCCCTTATCCCGTGCACTCCACCAATAAGTGTTATCTTTGGGTATCTGCAGTCATTCATTCTCAAAACATGGCCAAAGTATCTCAAGTGTTGCTGCTATATCCTGTAGTTTACTTCCTTCTGTAGATAAAGCTGTTTCTTAATGTCATCGTTGGGCAGCCCATCTCTTCATGTAACACCTAGAATCCTCCTGACACATGCCATCTCAAACACATTCAGCCACTGCTCTGAGGAGCGTTTCATTTTCCAGGTTTCCGAGTTGTAAAGAAGGCAGCTGAAGACAAGTGTCTCATATGGTGTTGGAGGCCCTTCTGTCCATGGCTTTCATTGGTTGATGAATAAAAAAACTGCCTTGGTCTACTTGATAAGGCAAAACTTAGGTAGGTAGAGAAGACAGAAGTGAATGCTGGGAGAAGGAAAGAGTCAGAGAGAGATGCCATGGATCTGCCTGAGACAGATGCTGGGAAATTTACCCGGTAAGCCACTGCCATGTGGCGATACACAAATTAATAGAAATGGGTTAAATTAAGATGTAAGAATTAGCCAATAAGAAAGAAGAGCTAATGGGACAAGCAGTGATTTAATTAATACAGTTTCTATGTGGTTATTTTGGGGTTAAGCTAGCTGGGCGGCCCGGACGAACAAGTGGGCCCTCCTTGCAACACTCATATACCTGTAATTTTGTTGTAGTTGTTGTTATGTCTCTTCCTGACCAAACCTTTCCCAGTGTCTGGAATGCAGTCCTTGTCATCCCTATCTGCTCTTGATATGTGAAAGAGTTTCCTCTCTTTAATTGAGATTTCGTCCCAGATAAACGAAGTTACTTATGTCTGTTACATCAACTTCAAGAAGGCATTTGATAGCATTAGGAGGAAAGGACTTTGAGAAACAGGTTCTACAGGTACCCAGAGAAAATCATAAGAATACTAGAAAATGCCTATAAAGATACCTTTGCATCAGGCTGTGGTGGCGCAGCTGGACGGGAGTGGCGCACACCTTCAATCCCAGCACTGGAGAGGCAGAGGCAGGTGGATCTCTGTGAGTTTGAGGCCAGCCAGGTCTACAAAAGATAGTTCCAGGACAGGTTCCAAAGCTAAAGAGAGACCATGTCTCGAAAAACCAAAAGAAGAAAAAAAAGATACCTTTGTACCAGTCAAAGTCTGTGGAGAATTAAGTGATCAATTTAAGACAATTGTAGGAGTGTTGCAATGTTGCAAGATGCATGCTCTCACCACTACTTTAATATACTACTGGAATTTATATAGCAACAGCCCTGGAGTATGAGAAGATAGGCATACAGATAGGTGGTGTACAAATCAATAACTTGCATTTCTCTGGCAATACATCACTACTTGCTGAAAGTCCAAATGAGCTTAAGGCCGTGGTAAACTGAGTAGTAGAAATAAGTGAAAAGCTTGGTATGAAAGTAAACATTGAGAAGACTGAGAAACAACACATGGGAAGGGTGCACAGGGATTTTAACATTGTAATAAAGAGTCAGAACCTCAAGCCGTCAATTTTAAAGACATTATCATTATATAGATAGATATTTTTACAGTTCTTGTTTCTTTTTAACAATTCTTTATAGTTAAAGCAGTTAATTAAAACTAACACATACAACAATTATTACATAAATGGGATAGAGTACAAAAAAATTCCAATTTCTATAAAAAGAATTCAAAGATTCTCTGGTGAAAATGGTTGATAAGGGAATAAAACTACAAAGCTTCATTGCTATGATCAACCTAAATCCTATTTACAGGAACAATTCTTTTCTCATGATTACTGTTAAGAAGAACGTTAGATACCTCAATCTGCTGCTAGGAAGATAGAGAAAGGTAACTTTCCAGATAAGTATTTATATAACTTCAAACCAAGGAGAATGGTTTTGACCATGAAGAAGGTGAGGCAAATCAGATGACATGGCTATTACAGTAGGGCTTACAGAGTAAGTTCCAGGACAACTGGGGCTGTTAAACAGAGAAACCCTGTCAAAGAGAGAGAGAGAGAGAGAGAGAGAGAGAGAGAGAGAGAGAGAGAGAGAATGGAAATAGAGTATAAATTCTGAAGGAGAATATTCAGTAAACAGAAGTAATTCAGAAAACCCAAGGATTTGGTGGGGAGAGTTTAAGAATAAACTTATTTCAAACTATCCTTTTTCCCCTATTTCCTGAATACAGCCAGAAGTAGTGGTTCTGACCACTACTAATTTCTGAAAATGGCATTCCCATTTTCATGGCATCATTAAACATTCAAATTTTTAACATGTTATCAATGTCAGTTTCTTTACCAGGCCCTAGGTCTTACTCCAGATTTTATTACACAAAGTGTCCATCTTACTGATGAAGAAAGAGTAACCTCTGAAATAAGTATATAAAAAGTATTATGCATTGACAATCACACTAATAATAATAGCTTCAATACTACAAGTAGTACAGAAGTCTCTCTTATCTGGAGCACACAGGACTAAAAGAATTTCAGATATCCTATTTTAGGATTTTGTAATATTTGATATTCATAACTTACAGATGAGACCCAACTATAATCAAAATCATCATTGCTATTAAAAGTACATTTATTTACTTATTTATGGATGTGTGTGTCACTATGGGCCAAAAGACATATAGAGGGCAGAGGACAATTTGCCAGTGTCAGTTTTATCCTGCCACTACGTAGGTTCCAAGGTGTAACTTGGGTTGTAAGGCTTGGTTGGCAGATACCTTTACCCGCTAAGTCATCTTATTCGTCCTGTGTTTTATACACAAAGTCTTTGGGTGATTTTTTTTAAACATATCTTTAATGTGCCTGCAAGCACTCATATAGAATTTTCAATTAAGGCATCATGTTGATGTTCAAAATGTTTCAGATTTTATAGCGTATCATGTTTCAGGAGTTCAGATTAGAGTGATCAACCTGTATATTCATTTAGTATGTGTAAAGCACTATATTAGAATTTAAGTTCATTTTATCAATTAATCCATAGAATTTACAGAAGCTATTCTAAAAAGTGTGAAGTTTTCACAACCTTATAATTGGAGCACTGACTCCATATAAAATGGGTTTCATGAAACTGTCATACATTAACATACATATATAAAATAATGGGCTTCATTATGAAACTATCACACATTAAATTTATTATATTTAGCCAATCCACTACCTACTGTACCCCCATGTCTTGGGTTCACTTCCTACTTGCAAAGAGCATCCCTTCTATTTTCATGTCTTATTGCTTTATATCTACATTCTGCATGGCAGAAAAAAATACTTGTTTTTCTTTCTAAAAAAAATCTGGCTTATTGCTTTACGCATGAAAGTTTAACCCACTTTCTTTCAAATGACATAATTCTATTGTTGTTATGGATAAATAATACTCCAGTATTTGCACATTTTCTATTCATTTACCTACTGAAATGCATCCATGAAGGTTCCAAGACTTAACTACTGTGAACAGTGCAGCAACAAATGTGTCAAGTCCACCACACCTTGACTTTTATTCCTTTGGGTATAGACCCAGTGTCTTAGGCAACTCTTATGAAGAAAAACATTTAATTAAGGTGGTTTATAAACACGGAAGAACATGGTGGTATGCAGCCAGACATAGTACTGGAGTGATGATAGAGAGTCCTACATCTTGATCCTACAGGTAACAGGAAATGATCTAAACTAGACGTAGCTTGAGGATAGGAGACCTCAAAGCCCACCCCTACAGTGACATACTTTCTCCAACAAGGCCACATTTAGGTTACAAGGCCTCACCTCCTAAAAGTTTCACTTCCTAAGGACTTGAGGGGGGCAATTACATTTGAACTACCACATTCTACTCCCTGGTCCACATAAATTTGTAACCATGTCATAATGTAAAACGCATTTAGTCCAACTTTAACAGTCCCCATTGGTGTGGGAAGTTCTTCTGTATATGTACTGTATATGTGCTGCTTTTATTGGTTAATGAATAAAGCTGTTTAGGTCAGTGGCTAAGGAGAATAGACCTAGGCGGGAAAACTAAA